ATTAAACGAGCATAATAAAGCAATTATTGCATTGTGATTTAGCTGAATCAATTGTCTATCCTTTTTGTCCCATTCAACTCTAGCTTTGATATGTCTTACACTTTCTGCAAACTTAATTGGAACTTAAGGTCCTTCCTTAATAATACCTCACAAATCTAAATCAATTGATTGAATGACATTTTCAAACTTCATTCTCCAAAATAAATAGCTTTCTTAAGAAAATAGAGAAGGCCCCATCATTGATTCTCCTTCACCAACAAAGCTTGAAGATGCCATCTTTCTCACTTTAAGCTTATCTTAGGATCTCTCAAAGGTTGTTACACCTACACATTTGAGAACCAAGCTCTGATACATTTGTTAGATAAAGAAGATCGAAGTAAAGTAACCAAGAGGGGGGTGAATTTGTTTTTTAAATAAAAATTTGATCTTTTAGAGTTGAGTTAAAATTGAGAACTTTTTAGGATAGACCTTAAATATTAGATTATAAAAACTTAAGAAGTTAAAGAATGAAGCTAGTTAAGGACAAACGATAGGAATGAGTACTCAGCCACAATTTTATAGAGGTTTGGTCCTCAAAGCCTACATATTACACAAAGAGTTTGAACCCACTAATCAATACTTTTAAATCAAGTTTAAGCACAACATTTAACTCACTACATTTTCTTCAAGAGGTATAACCTTCCCCTACTCTTTTTATAGAGGTATAACCTTACATTACCTTTTACAATTGAGGTATAACCTCACACTACCTTTCACAATGGAGGTATAACCATTCATTACCTTTTGCAATAGAGATATAACCATAGAACAATGGATTCTTTCAAGTTTTCTTAGCTTAAAACCTTAAAAGGTTGATAAGCATGTCAAATGTAAGAGAATAAGGATATATCAGAGAATATAATCTTAAAGATGAAAGATTTGTTTTGAGGATATGTAGTAGAGAGAAAGAAAAGGAATGAATTGTAAAAATCTTAGCTTTCTTTTGCTCTTGAAAAATTAATTGTTTGCTCTTTTTTCCCTGTTATTCTTTCCTTGAATGACATTCCCATGAGATATTTATAGTGCCTTATCCTTTTTACCTATTGGAATAAACTTTTGTCTTATTATTAAACGTTGGGACCATTTGAATCGCACTAATTGAAATTCAAGAATTGATTAGTAGATATGAGATATTGATCCTTTTATATCCCAAGACTTTCTATTTTATAAGAATTGATCTTTCCATTTTTGAGATATCAAATCTTCTTGTCTCACTTAAAGTATGGAGCTTTTTGTTTTTGAGAATCAACCTTTTCATTCTTGAGATATTGATTATTCGTATCTCATTTCCAATTTAGAGTTTTCTGATTTTTGAGAATCGATCTTTGCATTCTTGAGTTATTAATTCTTCTTATCCCATTTTAAAGTTAACAACTTTCTAATTTCTTGAGAATCAATCTTTGCTTTTCTTGATATCGATTCTTCTTTCACATTAGGCATTAACCTCAAAATTCAAATTTGCTTTTTCCTACTCTATTATTGTCTTTTTGTCTCATCTTTTCTTCTTCTCCAAGTTTCTAATTTTTTTTCTTTTTTTTTCTCTTTGTAGCTTCAAGAATTGATTACTTGATGCTTGATAAGTCGATTCTTGTTCTTAATGACTTTCCACAATGCTTTTGCTTTCTCAGGAATCAACTTTTACTTCTTCTGATATCAATTCATGTTTATCCAATAGCTTCTGTATCTACAAGAAGAAGTCGATTCTTTATGTTCCAGAAAAGAAATATTGCTTTTTGTTTTACAGAGAATCAGTTCCTTCACTTTCAAAAGTCGATTCTAATAGTTGAAATTTGAGATTTAAAGTATTCAAAAGGTTTTTCTTTTCACAAAGAACTTCAAAACTCTTATAGAATTGTTCTTCAAGTTCAAGATCATTTTCACTTAGTTTCAAAGCATATTTAGATCATTGAACTTTGTCATTTCAAAACTAGGCTCAATTTTAAAGCTAACAATCTACCATACTTCTAGGATTTTGAAAATACTCAGATACTAATCTTGTTCCTTTAAGTTTGGTGTATTTCTCTCTCTCAAGTTCATTAACCTAGACCTTGATTTATTTGCATAAAGTTTGGTGATTGTAGTCCAAGTATCAAAAGAGGTTTCAATTAAAGTGGAAAATGTGACGACACTTTCTATAGTAAAGAAGATTATGTGATGAGAAAGTAATTGATCTTGTCTTGTCTAATTATCAAAGGCAAGATTGGACACTAGTGTAAGAATATTGGTGCCTTCTTGAGGTGCCATGGTATGTGGACATTACTATGATTTTTGTGACATGGCAAAATATATTGAGTAGAAAGATTTTTGGCCTGAGACGTATGTGTTCATTCCAACAATTCAATTTCATTATATCAAAAGGGACACTCACCTCCCATGAGTGCCAAAGATTTTTGCCACCTATAGATGTACCCTTAACAACCATCAAACCTACTAGCATCCTTGTACACGTGGTTGTTAATGTAGCTTTTTGTGATGTGACAAAATTAATTAAGTATAAAAATTCCTCGCATAAGACATTATCAATCTAATCAATTAATTTTATTATATGAAAAGAAAAACTCATTTGTCACGATTGAAACAAAATGAAATGCTAACTTGTCATGACCTTAACAATTGTTAAGGTCACAGGTGTTAGATCATATTTTCCCCTTAATATAGGTATTTATTTGAATAAAAATTATAAAATAATAGCTTATTTAAGTACATAAAAAAAAGATAGGATCGAATTTAAAATTTATGAGATAGTTCCGACTTATTTAATATTTTTGCCTTAACCTTTAAATAACTCTTAATACTAATTCATAACATCTCATTTGTTTCATTCAAGTAATTTTTTTTTCAGAACATTTAGATGCACTTTAAATCGTTATATTGTGTTCATCTAAGTGAAAGAAAAAAAAGAAAGTAAAATAAATGAAACTTTCTAAACGTAGTATTTCAGACAAATGCTACTAGGCATTAGAAGAATTAAATAGAGCAATTAAGAGATAATAACTAAAAATGAAAGTTTTTTAAAGACATACTGAACGTCAATGCGAATGCTTTCCCTAGTGAAAAATTTTGACATAAAAGACACCTGCTCCCTCAAAAGAGAAGCCCGGAGAAAGTTAGCCCCATAAAACAAAGACTCGAGGCCCGAAGTGGGTCTCTAAGCACATGCGAAAATATCCCAAGCCGAACCTTGAACGTGTGGTCAGCTGATCCTAATGGGCTCCCAGTCCCAGACGAATTGCCCGAGGTCCACCTGGTTCACCACTTAGCGTGTGGAGATTTGTGTTTTAAAATGTGGAAACGGTCCAGGAAGCTTCAAAACATTCTTGCCGTGTTGATCTTTTCGTCAGCCGGAAATTTGTAAAAATTAGGATTTGTATGGCATCTGTAATAATCCCAGGCCAAACCCAAAGCTTCCGTCTCTGCCCTTGAGATTACTTTACACTCTTTGTTGCCAGGGTGCCTGCTGCCTGCCTATGTTAATTAAGGGGTCAAGAATTGGAAATGAAAAAATAAATAAATAAAATTCCATAAATGAAGCTTGGAATTGAAGTCGTGGCCACTTGTAGGGGAGGACAAAAACATATTTCACTTGTACACAATGCAAATGTGATGGTCCGTGTCCTATACGCAGCCTGCTATGACGCCAAACAGAAGAAACAATGATGGAAAATGGGATTGGATTTCCCGTTTTATGAAAATTTTAAAGAATGTCAAAACTCTGCGAGCGCCATTCCAACTTCGGATTAGTCTTGTATTACATTTCACAACAAGGCAAGGGAACACTTTTTTACAGGATTTTATTTCTGATTTGTTACACAAAATCCCATAGTATACTGTTTCTGATGCGATTTATTTGTCAAAACAAGGAAAAAAAATTTAAAAAGAGTTTTGTCTTAAGCTTCACACTTCAATTTAGACTGTGTGTTTGCATATCAATATCTATATATATTCAACTATGTATTATTGTTTAAATCAAAGTGTTCAAATCTCCTAAGGTTCTAAAATTGAAATTCAAAATTAGAACTAGTAAGACAGTAACAGAGTTGCTATGTTCATTTTTGACAGGGTAACAAAATGAAATGTTAGGAAGATCCGATATTTGAATATAATAATAAAAATGATAAATTTCATCTACAATCTTTATAATTTCAAGTTAATTTTCTCACGTGAGATTTTGTAGATATCTTTTTCTCAATTAGCACTATGTAGATAATTTCCGTTTTCATATGGATTAGACTATTAATTTTACTCAGTTTTATTACTAAAATATTCTCAATTCAAAACTATCTATTTATTCACATATAAAGATATTTTTATAATTTTACTAGACAAAAATAACTATATAACTCTTCTTGTAAGAATAAAAATTATCCACGAAGTGCTAACTGGAAAAAAAAAATCATAAGATATCAATTGAGAAAAAAAATTAAGACCACAAAATGCTAATAAATATCATGTATAACAATGTCAATGATTTCTCGGAATGAATTGTATTTTCAAAGCAATTCAATGGCTTTTGTATTGCTGAAATTACTACGAATTCAAGCTCATAATGTCGCTAGTGGTAGAGAGTCTTTTGCACCAAGCTTGCATTGTTATCCTCTCAAGAAACAACTTGCAATATCCCATTATTGTAGGAATCATGAATCAGGCCAAGCAAGCGCCATCATTGGAAATCTCTCTCTCTCTCTCTTATCCGGGGGGGAGGTTGAAAAGCGTTAGTGTCCTCTCAACGTTTCATTCATGATAAAGTGGAGAGCTCTTATTGAGTGGCACGACCCCCCTACCAAATCCCAACAAAGTAGTACTTTCTTTTTTACTAGTTTTCATCTTTGGCTTACACAGCAAGACAAATCAAATTCCAATGCCCACCACCTTTGCTTATACCCCAAAGCACCTAACCGTCGCATTTAATTCTATTCCGAAACTCTACAAAGAGAAAAAGAGAGAGAAAAGAAAGAGATTAATCGCATTTCTCTTGCCACTCGAAGAAGCTTTTATGCTTCTTTGACAAGAATAATACAATGAGAACCAATGCGGCCTCACTCCCTAACTGACCTTAATCATGCTGTTGCTTCCACACATGTTCTTAAGCTGAGTTCCCCAAGCTTTCATCGATGACAAGAATCTTAAAAAAGTAAATCACCATATATATATAGAGCTTCCCTGCTCATATTCAGCTGCATTCAAACCTCTCGGCCATCTTGTGTCACGAAATGGTGACTTCAGCTCCTGCTAAAATACTCATTGGCATCTCATTAGACCCAGATGACAGCAAGGAACTCTTGTCATGGGCAATCAGAGTTATAGCTCATCCAAATGACGACATTGTTGCCCTACATGTTCTTGGTTAGTTCATTCATACTCACATGGTAGTTCAATGCCAATTGTTTATGATTTTTCAGTCTGTAAACTCAATGCTGCCTGAACCAAAACATCATTGCATCAGGCTTTTTCTTTTTTCCAGCTGCCAGTCCAAATTAATTATTTTCCTCTTAGGTTGGACTTGCCTGTGTTTCACCTATTGAATTTATAGCAGTTGAACTAAATTGAATCAATTCGTTCACGACTAGCATTGTTAAACTTTACACTGTTTTGCATGTTTATTCAAATGCAGTTGGTGAGGAGTCCAAGAAGCGTAAATTGATAACTAGAGATCAAGCAAAGTTTCGCCAGGCAAAAGCTCATGTTATATCTGTGCTTGGAGAATTTGCTAGGACTTGCCAGTCTAAGCAGGTAACCAAATTTTAGATTTCTGCAGATAAATAAAACCTGCCAAAACAAATTCTGTTGTCTATGTTCTGAAATATCTCTATCTACATCGTTCAATTATATGACGCTCATCAACTTTGTTCAGGTAAACTTGGAGGCCAGAGTAGGATATAGCTCTAGCGTTAGAAGGGGCCTAATTGAGGATGCAAAATCCATCTCAGCTGACTTTCTTCTTCTTCTTGGTTCCAGAAACCGTTCAAACAAGTGAGAAACCAAACTATCCTTGGATATTTGAAATTCCATTGCAATATGTTCTCTGATGTTTGATTTTTCTGTCTTTGGGTTAGAACTTCACACAAAGTTACAAGATATTGTTTCGAGCATGCTCCGGAAGGCTGTGCAGTGGTTTCAATAGGGAAATCTAGGCAGCCACAGCGAAACTCAAGAACAAATTCTACTTCTTCACATTTTGATGGTTAGTTTTCTTCCAATCAACACTTGAATCAAACATAAAATATCCCTTAACTACATTCCTGCTAAAGTTTTGCTTCAGCAGAAACTCGTCAATGGAGCTCAAGATGGTCTAACAGGAGTGATCGCAGTGGCGAGGCTGTCTGCCCTGTTCAAAATTCTATTGTCTCCAAAACGAAGGTGCAAAAGCCTTCACCAAGAACTGTTCTAAACGCACTTGAAGGAGAATCAAATAGCACAGAAGATGAAACCTCTAGCTTTGGGGACTCAACTATCTCTGGGTCCCCTCCTCGGGCGGCAAAGTTTAAAGGGCAATCCTGCATAATGAAACAGATGTCACCATACAAACTTATCTCATCAGTCTTTAGTTCTCCATTAAGGAAAAGGAAGGCCAGTTTATCCAAGAAAGAAAAGGAGGAGCCTTTAATCAAGTGCTTCAGCTACGAGGAGGTCTCAAACGCTACAAATAACTTCCATCCAGGTGAAAAATGCAAATACAGCTACTTTTCTAAATGCAGTACTATGAAATTAGACGCTTAGCATTTAAGATTTCATAGAGCCTTCGAATTGTTTTGTGGTATCAGATAATATAGTTGGTCGAGGCGGGTACTCAGAAGTGTACAGAGGTGATCTTTCTGATGGAAGAGCCGTCGCAGTGAAGAGGTTGGCCAAGGACAACAAGGATGAAAACAAGGAGAAAGAATTCCTCACGGAATTGGGCATAATTGGACATGTGTGCCACCCAATACCGCAAATTTATTTGGCTGCTGCATTGAAAATGGACTCTATTTGATTTTCAGCTTCTCTGAGAATGGAACTTTGTCATCTGCATTGCACGGTAAGAAGAGCAACTGCCCCTTCGGATAAACTGCAGAATTTGGAGAGAGAGATTCTATAATTTATTTTTAAAAAAAATGAGTTGTTATGCATAAGTTTTGAAAATTTGAATACAGAGTAGTATAAAAGAAATGGATAGTTTTCCAACCGTGAAAACGCCTTGATATTTGCTTCTTAATTGGGCCTATTTCAATTGGAGAACCGTCAGGTAAAACAAGTGCGTCACTCAATTGGCCTGTGAGGTACAAGATTGCCATTGGAGTTGCTAGAGGTCTTCACTATCTGCACAAATGTTGCAAACACCGAATAATACACCGTGACATAAAAGCCTCTAATGTGCTTCTCGGACCAGATTATGAACCACAGGTGATATAGCAGACAACTTCCAGGAATGTTTTGAAAAAGTACAATACATTATTTCTTTTTCTGATTTTTAACAATGATTTCATCTCTTTCTAGATCTCTGATTTTGGTCTTGCAAAATGGCTTCCTAACAAATGGACTCACCATGCTGTGATCCCAATAGAGGGAACATTTGGGTACCTAGCACCAGAGTATTTCATGCATGGCATTGTGGATGAGAAAACAGATGTTTTTGCATTTGGGATTCTTGTCCTGGAGATCATTACTGGTCGCCGGCCTGTGGATTCATCAAAGCAAAACCTCCTCTTATGGGTACGCACTTCGCAGACTTCCAGGCTTTTGAATTGAATATCCTGCCAAAGGGAAAATTTTTTTACATAACTAATAAAAATCATACTTTTTCACTTTATGCTGCCAAACAACTATGGAAATTGAGTAAAGAATAATAGAGAAAGAATAGGTAGAAATTCCTGCAAATAAACAACTCTGTTTCCATTGTTCTTGCACATTCGAGATAGGACAAAGCGTGAAGGTGTCGGTTTGGTGGCATAAGTTGCTCTATGCCACATTTCAGAACAGTTTTAACATCCAGTTTCTTACTGAATAATTTTCATTTATAGGCAAAGCCTCTTATGGAATCTGGGAACATCACTGAACTAGCTGATCCAAAACTGAAAGGTAAATATGATGAGGATCAAATGCATAGATCAGTGTTAACAGCTTGCTATTGCGTGAGGCAATCAGCAGTATGGCGTCCGTCAATGAGTGAGGTACTTAAACTATGTATTTGGTAGGATATTCCAAATCATTTCCATAGAGTCAATGCATATGTAATGTGATTTAATGCTTCCACTTCTCAGGTCTTGGAGCTTCTACTGACTGGCCATGACTCTGATGTTGCAAAGAGCTGGCGAATGCCAAAGTTTACATCTGATGAGTTGGATGATTACTCAATGGTTTTTGGATATGAGGTTCCAACAGATATTTCCCTGGAGGAATTTTTATGAGTAATTCTTCTTCCACACATCTATTGCAGCTTCAGGTGGTATGAAAGAGGGGAAGCTGACAGAAGAGCACATCATAATTATAACTTTTCATACTTTTAAATGCATGCTAGGATTCAGAATATATTGTTTATTAAGGCATCCATATTCTGCAATTTTATTTAGATCTTCTCATTAGAGTGTTGTGCTTATGGTAGAGAAAGTTTCATCAAGTACATATAAATGGGATTCTGCAAGAATCTCCACGACTGAGATCGGCCTTTCCCTGAATATATACAAAGCCGTGCTAATGTGAACTATCCTGATCAATTCAAGTTTGCCATTTACATTTTAATTATGATCAACTATATGTTTTCTAATGAATGAAAATTTCCAATGGTCATAGCAATTGTCTGGAATTTTGTATGAATGGCTCTCTGTATTAGGAAATCATTCAATCTTCTGGAACATAATCCATTCCATATCATATAGGTTGAGAGGTGATGGACTGTATACAAGAACAGAGTGGATGAGGGTGGCTATTTTGTTGTACAGGTACTAGAACTCGTGGAGATTTGCATTTGAAAAATCATTTTCTCATCATTGGAAAAGGTTTGTTTATACATCCACTAGAAACATGATATACACAAGGAATTAAGAAGGATTTTTAGAGCCTTATAACATTGATATAGACCACCTTTTTCTTCACAAACACTAGCCATTGATAAGGTTGTTGTGCACTATATAAAGCAAGCACTAGTTAATTTGAAACATAAACAATGATTTCTGAAACTGACCCATGATTAACAAGAAAAAGAAAAAGCTAGTACTCTTTGTTAAAGAACAAAATGCAGAGAAAGAAAAGATTACTTCTTAAAAATATCCAAGGTTGTTTGAAGTCCACCTTCTATAAGTAGGAGCTTCATGCATTCTATCAGAGCAAACGTATGAAAGCACGGTATACCTCCTTGTTTTTGTAATTCTCTCCTTCTGTAATATATAACATCATAATCGGATCTCAGAACTGCTACAAACCGACACCACTAGTACAGAAACAACTAACCAAGGAGCAGCAAAATCTGTCTCACCTCTCTTTTGGGAGTTTGAATGCAAGTTCAAACCGGGCCAGCTTTCTAGTTTCTTGTATAGTTACAGAATTGCCATTCCATAAGTTTCTCTCCTTCAAATTAAAGTTCAACCAAAGTACTTAACATTACCCATTCACAGCCGCTCCTCCATCTAGGCAGCTGTTATTTTGTATGATTAAAGAAAAAGCAAGTTTTTAGTATGGATGACATCTTTCTCCTCTTCTCTGTATATTCACGAGAGATCATAGCTCATCTCTAGCATTGCTGCTCCTCACATAGAAAAGGCTGTGGCTGTGCCCATTCTTCTCCAAGAAACGGCCTCTTTCCACTTCCATTTCGATGCTCCACACTCAGCTTAGTAGACCTTACTCCAATCTCTGGACGCTGAAGATAATCCTGAGAAGCAAAGTTCCATGAACTTTTTGTTTACCTTCAAATTTCAACCAAATGGGGATCACAAGTCACACTTAAAAGCTGAAGAAAGAAGCTAAATGGGCCAAATTTTGGAGGGCCTGGCTTTTCTTTTCCTTTCCGTAGTACTGAACCACTCCCCCCTCGCACATGCAAATGGATTGCCATTTTGCCAGGTTGCCTGTAGATACTGTATCCGCAGTCACTGCCGGCCCAAAGGCACTGCGAAAATTGTTTCCAATCATTTTGATCATTTTTCCTGGTTGGGTTTAAGCCAGCCAAATCAAAATTTTCAAGGTTAATTGTAAAGCTGGCAATCTCAACCAAAATTCATAACGCTAGTATTCAATCCTTGGTATGTAAATTGGGATATGTATATTCCAATAAGTTACAGTAACTGCTACTGATGTTGCCATCAATTGGCAGAAGCCTAAAGTCTTTGAGTGCTTGTGGGCCTTCACCTTAAAACAACGGATGAAGGCTGGGAATATTTGTAGAGTAGAATGGTCAAAAACCATCTCTCAGGATTGCCTTTTGCGCACTAGTGAAGATCTCAACTTTACTTTATTTTGGCCAATCACATACTTCTCAAATTTAGAAAATTGAATATTTGTTTTACAGATAATATTTCTTTTTAGACATGCAATATTTGACATATTTATAGGCGAAGTTATGTGAAAAGTGAGTGCTTATTCTTTATACCAAATGGTGTCTTCTGATGGAATGTATAAAATATTCCAAATTAACACTAATTAAATGGAGACCCTATCTAACATTGATATTAATTTAAGGCCGTCTATAACCTTAACTAGTTTAAGAAAAACACAAAATCACAGTGTAAAATGGATTGAACTTTTCCTTCAAACATGGACATTCCTCGAATATTGACTTATATAATAAAAACTAATTTTTTTTCTTATATCATGTACTAAAAATTAAAAATTCATTAATATCTATAAACCTTTATTGTATGAAATGTTTTCTAATTTTTTGATTTTTTTTTAGTTAGGATTTTCATTTATATTAATGTATAAACTTTAGCCATGCATCATAGTACTCAAGATCCCACGGCTCAAAATTAGCACTTAAAATTCTAATTTGAAATAGGGATAACAATAGATATCTTATTATAAAATAACTATAAGCACTTGAATTGGATTCGAATTTGGATATATCAAAATTAACGAGTACCTTACTTATTATCTCTAATTTATAAATTTTATATTTAAATACATTTAGATGAAAGAAGTCAAATTTAAGAAATAAAAAAATATTTTTATTATCTAATCTAAAATCATATGTCATGAAAATAAAAAAGAAAAATCAAGGTCCTCGAGGATCCAGTAAATCTGGAATCGGTTTGGTAGCGGGCGAAGGGAAGGGAGCCGTTGACTGATGAATGCTGAGTTGACAGCGGAGAGTGGATGGTCATTGTGTTAGGAGAAGTGGGGGATTTGGACCACACTAGCCAAGGGACAGTGGTGCGCGACAGGCCGAGCCCACAAAGAGATGGGCGTGGCCTGGTGGTGCACGTGAAGTCGATGAGGCGCTGACCCACCACGATGTCCCCCATGGCTGATCCCACCTTGATAACTACCGCACATGCACATGCAAAAGCCGACATTTTTCACTTCTTATCTCCTCATCTCTCTCCAAAAACAAAGAAGAAGACGAGAACAGAGACACGAGTTTCAATTCATAGACTTAAATTCACAATCAAAAGCTACAAATTTAGCTTCGTAATCGTCTTGGTTGTCACCGTCACCATTTTTTATATATCTAGCTCAAAACAACTTGCTTTGAAAAATTTACAAGCTGTAAATGCCATGGTTTTGGAGATAAATACACAACCTTCCATCAGATTTAGGCTATATTTATAAGACGGCAAGGAGCAGCAATTTGATTTTAGACAACACATAATTATTAACAAATCTGCACTGGAAGGGAGGTAACTATGTGGCTGCTGTCCTTGTCTTCATTATTTTTGGGCTATTCATTGGTTGTTCTTCAGCTCTTCCATTTATTGTAAAGAAAAGGTCTTTGATTGGCCCATAGATGCAAGGTTGTTAGATGTCTCCCTTTCGCTTTGATCCATGATTCACATGATGCTTTGATAATTATTTCATTCAAGTCATAAAGCCACTTTTTCTTATTTGTATCATTTGAGCAAAAGTCAATTAGAAACCACAAGTTAAGTAGTATTATTATTAAGTTTCATCTTTCTAATGTGATTGCACTTCTTTTTAATTATTTTGGTCAACCTTGCTATTCATTCACGCTTATCAAGGGAAGATTTTTTTCCCAGGCTCATAGATGATGTAGGATTAATGTAGGCAGCTTTTTTCCAAAACATCAATGAAATGTATTCTCACAAGATTTAATTGCATACTTCAATTTTCACCTTCAATAAAAGAAGACGACAAAAATTGAATAAAATTTACATATGATGGGACCATGAATTGGAAATTTAAAAGTTATAAGTCTTCTTCTTGTCATTGAGACAAGACCTTGTTGGCATATATTTACATTGCTGTAGAACATTTTTCACGTTGTTGGTTGCAATTTCAATAGTTTGACAAACAGTCTGTATCCTCTGGTACAGCCTTTGCAATGTTTACAACATTTTCCGCGTCACTCGGTTGGGAAACATGGCATTAACTCAAATAGATTTTCTTCTCCACTCTTGGAAGAATTAAACTGGACGAACAATTTTGGCCTTCCTTTTAAGAATTATGTGCTCTAAAATATTGAATGTCCACCTTTTCAATTTGATGTTTCTTTTAAGGATAAATCAAGTTGGTCAAGTTTCTCAATATAAATTCAAATTAAAAAAAAATTCAAATCAATATATAGATTGCTAATCTTGTTAAATAGATCTTTTACACAAAACTTTAAATCATTTGAACAAGTTTTACTATTTCCATTTAAATACAGGGGATTTTATTAAAAAAATAACAAAATTTTAACCATTCAATGACTATTGATGGAAATTCATTTGTAGATACTTTTTAATTAATTGTTTGCATATTGTTGATTTACTTATAAAAATCAGTTTTATTTTTTTTCGCAATCATCTTTTTCTTTAAAATGCTTTGATAATCGTCTTTAGCGAGGAACTTAACGAACTCGACATAAAAAATTTTATTTAAGTTTTTTATTTTTTTAAAAAGAAAGTATATCTTCTCTTTCCTTTTCCCCTGTCTTGTAGGTATATATTGAAAATTTTTTTATTAAAAAAGTTTATATTTTAGTATTCAAATTTTTCTTTTGCTTAAGTTACATATCAATCAAATTGAATATTTGATATGAAATGGAAGGATTGTACAACGTTAATGGCCAATGTCTGAGAAAGCCTTGAGGAGAATCAAGAATGGCATCATGTAAGTTCGAGTCTCATAGGTGATCTTTAGTCCTTTAATATCCGTGCCTACATGGAATTCCTCTCTGTTCAAAATAATATAATATAATATAAAAACTAGTAGATTTTTTAGGTCTAAATTCAAGTGTTAGGAAATATAGAAAATAACAAACTTTATATTAATTTATGAGAAGGAAGAGAAAAGGAACGTTACAAATAGATTCTTTTAAATCTTTTTCATTTTTTATGTCTTTTTCATAATTAAAAGCCTAGCTGAAATTTTCTTTGTTATTATTATTTGAATGAAAGACTCAAACTTAAACTCTTTATTTTGTTTTAAAAAAAAAACTTTGTTTTGAATTTAAAAATCGATTATCATTGAGATCATATTTTGACAATTTCGTTTACAAGTCAAATATGAACCAATATTTTGGCTGTAGGGAGCATATAGTAGAGGTGTCCATAGATTAGGTACAATCCGATTAACACCTCTAAAACCTAAATCCAAATTTGAGTCAAGTTCGACAATTAAAATTTATTTATTATTAAAAAATTAAAGAATTTATATTAATATCTTATTATTTTAAATATGTTTTAAAATTAAATTTAAATAAAAAAAAGTATTTATTATCTAAAGTCAAGTTGGACCGAGTTAAGACTCAAAAATCTTGTTCAGGGCTTGACCAGCGAACCTAACATGTAATACGATCCATACACAAACCTAATATACAATAATATACTTTGATAAATACTAGTTGGAAAAAGACACAAAATTTGTCTTTGTCGTTATTTTTGTATGGTCTTTGGGTATTTGGTGCCATTAATTGAGCACAGCTTCATAAATATAAATACAGAATTCGGATGGCATCGTGGCTGTCATGGCAAATTATCTTTGAGTTGGTCGTTATTTCTTTTTTCGGTCTGCCTAACGAATTAAACTTAATTAGGTGGCCAAGGGATGGAGAAACAAGTTTGCTAAATAGCACCAAAAATGTTGATAGCAGAAAGAGGCTGGCCAAACTTAGAACATGTAGCTGGCATCTTCTGTTTACCCGTTTGGGAGTTGTCGGTTGCTTTCAGAAGATCTAGGCTTGAGCAACTTGAAAATGGTCCCAAGAAATTGCAGCCACTAG